GCCGATAAATATGCCAGAGCCTCACATGAAGGAACCGAAAAGCAGGGAAGAACCGACACCGATGTCAGCAAAATGTCTGCAGAGCTCAGTGGTAACTAGTTACATTTACATTTAGCAAAAATGGTTCTGTGGTAGTATTTTTACCATGCTGTTCTTTATTACGAAGCATCGTAACACTTGAAATATTGATTGATTGATTGATTGATTGATTGATTGGTTGATTGGTTGATTGATTGATTGATTGATTGATTGATGTTTTGTTCTACGATGATGTATTAGGGCCATTGTAGATAGAAAAAAAAGAAGTAAGTTTTCACTAAAAAAAATATCAGAAATTTTCCAGGAAAAAAAATATTTCTGAGTTTGAAAAGTTGAAAATTTGCCAGAAAAAAACAAATACATTTTCAGATTTATCTCAGACATTTTCTAGAAAAAACAAGAAAATGTTTGAGTATGAAAAGTAAAAAATTAGCTAGAAAAAAAATCTGAAATGATCAGATTAATCTTAGAAATAAAATAAAACCCCAGCAAATATCAGAGTTTTACTGAAAATCTGTAAATCCCCTGTTTTTTTGTTTGTTTGTTTTTTGTTTTTGTTTTTTTCAAAAAGAATTTGGAAACTTGAAAACAGGCTAATTTATTTTGCCTAATTATGTTATTTTGTAGCTGCATTATTTATATAAATTTTTTCATTTTTATCTTTAAAATACCAAAATTTCGATGTAACTTTATATTTTAAAGCAGAATTTTAGGGCAATACTAAGATAAAATTAAAAATTAAAATTACAAGAATAAAATTATTACCAGAATAGTCATAATATTTTGCGTTGTAGCATTATGACTATTCTGTTTATTACAATAATAGCTCTACTTTCCACTACCTCTCAAATTGTAAAGAAAAAAAAAGTTATTCTTCTAATAACAAAATACCCAAAATATGCATTCCACTGAAATCATTTTCAAATTAGTTGCAATCAGTGCAACTGCAATAATTAGTACAAATATTCGTATTCAGGTTCTTGAACTCAGTTTTGATTTAGTGGTTCTGGTCCTGGAAACGACCGGCTGCCTGCGTCTGGTGCAGAACTGTTCAGAACCATGAGAGCAGTGGTTACATAAGGCTCTCTGTGGGGAAACACACTCACTTCACAGTGTTGATGGAGTCTTTCACAGACCTGATAGGGTGTTGATTAGGATGTACTTTCCCACAAAGATCCAGCGTTGAAGTAGATCCTAGCGGCTTTTCTGTCTCCGATTATCGCTCCTTTCTTTGACCCTTCCTTCTGACTGAGCTCTGAAGTGACTGTCACCAATTTTTCTTTTTGTTTAAATCACTAGCTGTGTTTCTGTTGGCCATATAATTGCACAATTTAACTTTTCAACAGTAAATTGTGATGGTGTAATGCAAAAAAGTGTTTAAATTGCAGTTTTGTGAAATGAACCAGTTCTGAAATGTCCAGACAAAACACATGTTTTTTCAGAATTGGCTGGTTTCCATTGAGCAAATTTATTTTAGAAATGTCAAATTGCGCAACTGTATGGTAAATGGAAATGCAGCTGCTATTCTGCTGATGCCAATAAAACACAATTTTGCAATTCCCATGTTTCCATTAAGTAAGAAAAACAATTGAAACCATATGTTTCAATTGTTTCAAATGTTTCAAACATATTTATTCCATGAACAAATATGTTTGTTCATGGAATAAATCAATAAAAAATTTGCCACACCATCATCCTCCAACTATTTCCTGTTGTCGTTTTCTTCTTCATCGTTTGCACCAGAGGCAACTTACGGTTGTTAATGTGATCTGAAAAAACTTTTTCCATTACAGTTTTGCAAATAAACCAATTTTGATACAGCCAACAATCTACCTCATCCTGGCTCCAAACTTTTTACCAAAAGTCGAGTTTTTTTAAACTGGCCTGTTTATATTAAGCTAATTTATTTCCCAATGTCTCACTGGGTGATTATGTGTCAATGGGAACAGCTTTTGAGGTTTTGTGAAGATTTGTAACGGCAGCTGCTTTTGTCCTCCGGTTTCCTCCAGGTGCGGTGCGAGCCTCTAGCATCTTCCCCATCCTCAGCGTTATCCTACTGTTCATGGGAGGCCTGTGTATAGCTGCCAGTGAGTTCTACAAGTCACGCCACAACATCATCCTCAGTGCAGGGATCTTCTTTGTGTCTGCAGGTGAGTCAAGCAGCAGCAAAGTGAGGCAGGGTGGACGAGAGACGAGATTTTTGGTTGTCTGTTGTACTGACGCTTTGCACCATTTCATCTTTTGTATTCTGTTTCTTTTATCTTGTTGCTAGGCTAAACGTCACCCTTTGGGAGTCATCTCTAAAAATATGGTGTCCCTGACACACTTTCCTTTTTATCCATCAACATTTACCATGTCAAAATATTCTCTATGATTGAACCTAACAAACTGAAGAATACATTCTGCTCTTGGCATGACATTGAACATTTGATTAGAAAATAACTCTGTAAAAACACATCTTACCAAGTACAAAGATGTTAGTACATTTGAAATAAGACAAAACAAACTTAAAGTAACTATTCAGAAAAATATGTAATTTATATTAGGGTTATAATAAACTGTTAGTTCCACTGGTAGATTAATTCACTTATGCCACAAGACATTTTCACATGTTTTAAGTGTCAGTGGATATAGTATTTTT